TGGCCTTCCAAAAGAGGACACAACTAGAAATCAGTGGTTAAGTTGTATTTACAACACTGTTCCAGAACAGTTCAACCCAAATATTCAGATGTGTGCAGCGCATTTTATGGAGGACTGTTTCCTGAACCTGCAGAGTAGCCTACAATGCCGTCTACACACAAAAGCTGTTTCTATAAAGTGGGGCAGTTCCAACTTTGCAAGGACAGTCTGGCTCTTCAGACTCACAGCCTGTAAGTAAGTTTTTTTTTTTATATTTAAAGAATTTGCCACTGATGATTCAAACGCGAGTTTTGAGCAGTGTAGAATAGCGCTTGTTTGTCTTTTCTCCGATCACAAATGCAGACATGGTTTTATGTTTACGCGGCGCAATACGCAACATAACGCGTAAAAAGACAGTATAAATCTTTATAATCAGTCCCCACTGGATGCAACAAATGCCTTGTTTGTAATGGGTTTTATTGGTTTTGTTTCGTCGCGCCGGGACACCACATCACAGTATGGTAAAGGGCGTAACATTTCCGTCACACGCTTGAGGTATTCAGCCAATCACAACGCACTGGATAGCTGGCCAATCAGCGCACACCTCGCTTTTCAGAACGATGAGCTTTGTAAAAATCGACGCGTTTCAGAAAGGCGGGGCATAGATGAGAAACAATAATGCACAGTATGTGGAAAATAATGTGTTTTTTTAACCTTAAACCGCATAAACACATTTCATTACACCAAATACACAAAATAATGTTCTTTTTAGCATGTCATATGACCCCTTTAAGAAGATTCTAGTGATTTTCTGATTCGTTTCAAAGGGAAATGTTGGTAATTAAAAGTGATAGTTCTCCCAAAAATTTAAATTGTCATCATTTACTCACCCTTGCACTGTTCCAAACCTATATGAATATCTTCTTTCTGCTGAACACAAAAGAAGATATTTTGAAGAATGTTGGTAATCGTACAGTTACAGGTTTTCATTGACTACCATTGTTTGGGGGAAAAAATACTACGAAAATCAATGGCAACCAGAAACTGTTTGGTTACCAACATTCTTCAAAATATCTTCTGGAACAGCTTGAGGAATTGATGTAAATGATGATAGAATTTTCATTTTTGAATGAACTATCCCTTTAATAACTAAATTGGTGAAAACTAAAATTGTGTAGCTGTTTTACTCAATCTCTCAAGAATCAGTGCTCCGTGTCTTCAAGGTCAGGAAGCTCCTAGACCATTACCCAAGCATCCTACTGCTATGTACTCCATCTCTCCTGCAGGGCTGTGTATCTGGTAAGGCATAAAGAAACTCGGCAACGTTTTGCGATGAAAAAGATCAACCGACAAAACCTGATTCTGCGGAACCAGATCCAGCAGGTGTTTGTGGAGCGAGACATCCTGACGTTTGCAGAGAATCCCTTTGTGGTCAGCATGTTCTGCTCCTTCGAGACCCGCAGACATCTGTGCATGGTCATGGAGTACGTGGAAGGTAATGGCTAAACTATACTACACAACTTTTGCCTCAACTTTCCCCCGATTTAAAGTCTGGAGAAGCTGATGAAAGTCAGAGCCAGTCTGCAGATTTTAGTTGACCGATTTCATTGAAAATCGTGTTTCTATGACTCTGATTTATTTTAGCTTCAAACTTTGATTCCATCTGGTCGCAGGATATCAAACATGTTTCTGCGTGACTTTGTTGTGATCGGAAGGACTTTAAGTCTGGTAATGTGTGATCCTCAGTCATTTGGTGTATAATGGCCAGTTTTTTCTTTGTGACTATTACAAAGTCAGTAAGTGTATGATGCCTAACGTTTTAAAATTCTGGTTTTAGAATTGTGTAGTGTATTCCAGCTTATAAGGCAACAAAATTCAAACATAACATGTAAACATGTATCTTTTAAATGCATATTGTCATATGAACAGTCAAAGCTCACAAAGAGAACCATTTACTATGGGGGGAGAAATACTTAAAGGTCCCCTGAAGTGCCTTGAAACACGCAGCATTCTATGTGGTGATGTAATTTCAACTGAAACCGGAAGAGAGGGCGGGACATATCGAGCAGCCCCGCCCCCTTTTTTAAAAATAGCTAATAACGTTTTGTTTATATCTGCTAGGGCCAGAGCCGTTGATCTCGGTAAAGCCGCATTTGACAGCCACAGTCTAATAGATTACCTCCTAGATTCAGTATGAAACTCTTAGTAAAACAAAATAGTGGTCATAATCATACTGAGGCTGTGTAGTTGTAAAAGTTTTTAATATATGCCGACTCGCGCATATGATCCGCTCCGTGCGATCGCGTCTCTGGACCGGAGCCAAAGTCCGGATCAGACTGTGTGCGCTGCCACTGTTCGCGTGACACAACGTGAAACCAGACCTCATTTGCACCAATCGAAAGCATATTTACACTGTCTGAATCCTTCCCTATTGCCTACATTGTGCACTTCAAGCCATTCACCGTACAGGAAATACTACACTGTGCAGGAAATACTACACTGTGAACAAGTGACCGATCTCAGCCGCTTCAGCGTCTATTTAAAGTGCAGGGGGTGGGCGCTTCGGATTCTAGAGAGCATTTGATTGGTCAGAAGATTTGATGAGAAGATGAAGTACGATGTGACATCAAAAAAATCGTTGAGCCGTTTTGGCGGAAGTGCCGAACTGCAAGCTTTGAATGCTTATATCTTATAAATGCAAATTTTTTCGCTGTTTTGGATCACACTGCCTTATAGATAACCTTAAGACTAACATATTGATACTAACACCCAAAAAACTTTAATTTTGATTTCATGGGGACTTTAAAGGTAGCACTGGTTCATAAACATTAATGTCATGTTTTGTGTTTTGTTTTTTTTTTCAGAATGCCAACTCTTGTCCTGTGGACCGGATAGTCTTCAATAACATTCTCCTTTCTCCTG